CTCCCGTGTTTACTATTTATTCTCGCTTTGCTCGTTGAGGTTTTGATTTTTCTTCCTTTTATTTCCTACTAATATGATGTGTTTCACTGATTCATCGGTTTTGATTAGCATTAATCTCCCCCCGTACTTTGTTTTCGTTTGTTTATTTTTATTTACATTATTATTTTAAAAAATGTATATGTCGTTGTTGTTGGTTTGTAGGTTACGGGCAAAGGCTATTAACGAGCAAGTAGAAGGATCCACGGTAACAAAAAAAATCCTGGTCCCAATACCCGTAGTATTCGTTGATCTTGAAAAAACAGAGACAGTGAGGGAGGTATTCAATTTAGTGGGTATTCTAAATCAGAGGATTAAAGTTGAAACTCCAAGGTCATCGCAATGGCAGCCCCAATGCCGGAGGTGCCAAAGATACGGCCATGTATATGTCGTGAATACATGATTCTTTCTGTTTTGTTTGGCCCCAACGGTTTGTTGAACGTTGGCTGCGGAGGTGCGGTGGTGACTGGTGAGGTCCTCGTGCCTCGGCCAGTTATTCCGGTTCGAGGGTACGGTCGTGGATTCTTGGGGGTTGAAGACTTCATCCTGCGTTCCCTCCGCGGGATTACCGTCTCCGGCTCCATGCCGGGGAGGCGGGTATCTTCTATCCAGTGGTGTGTGTGGTGCGATGCATCACACACAATAATGCAGTGTGTAGCACTGTTGCGCCTATCTCCGTCTCAGCGCCGGGTCGCGCAGCGCCAGCGGGGGCGTTGTCCGAATGTCTCTCTACTCATTCATTGAGTTTCTGCAACTCTCCCAAGCGCTGCGCGGCGCCGAAGTGTGGAAGGAGGCATAATACCTTGTTGCACGAGGGACCTGGCGGGATTCCCGCAAGATGTTCAACCTATGGGGATATTCAATGTCCTCCATCTACCAGTCCCGGAAGACCAGCCTTGATGGACGCAGCCTCGTCAGCCGTCTCTTCTTCAACAACGGCCTCTTCCGCAACAACGGCCTCTTCCTCAACAACGGCAGTCCCTGTCTCAATAGCACCCTCCGTCTCAATAGCACCCTCTACCACCTCAACAGCACCCTCTACCACCTCAACAGCACCCTCTACCACCTCAACAGCACCCTCTACAAACTTAACAGCACCCTCTACCACCTCAACAGCACCCTCTACCACCTCAACAGCAGCCTCTACTTCCATAGCCTTGCCTCAGCCGATTCAAGGTGAGGAAACGCCACGCCTTACCGAGGGCCGCCACTGTGGGCCAGATCGTGTCCGTAGCGGCGCGAAATGCAATTTTTCGACATTTTTTTTTCCACATCAGAGCTATCTTAATCGATGCTCAGATACCTACTGATAACGAAATTACATGGGAATATCTAAAATATTCATTATATCTGCGGTTTCCACGTAGATAGATATGCAGCATGTGGAATGTGATGAACCCAGATTTCTGCAACCTGAGGCGCGCGTTGTATACTCGCTTATTTCACAGAGCACTCGTGAACCTCAAACCATTATATGCATCTGACTGGTAAACTCCATTTCATGACGAGTATTTTCGCTTTTGCAGATCCGAAAAATATAGATTTTTAGCTGCAGAGCATGAGATCAAAGTTGCCCGAAAAATAAGCCTTAAAAAATGAATTTTTCAGAATATTGTCGACTGGGAAAGTGTCATTGCGGTTCGTTGCGCGGTTCTCTCTGGTATTTTTAGAAAGCACATATCCTAGAGATACCATATACCAAAGCACAAACGGTACAAACCGGTACAACCATATTTGTCGGATGCTTATTTGAGGCGACCTCCAATTTCCGCGAAAATCAGATGTAGAGGTTTTAAGGAACTACGTTACCCAGTAAAGCGGCCAATGAAATATTTCAACACAAATTCATGTTTTAAGGGTTTTTAAGGTTTCTAATAGCATTTCTCGCTCTTTCTATACTTTAGGGTGGNTGTGAAAATGGGAGACCGCTGCACCCCTACCACTATAAAAAGTTCAACCTTCCCACAGGAACTTAGAAAAGTTGGGTTTTCCCTCGTAGGTTGTCCCTAGCTACTTGGCATTTGTATAACCACGAAACTCCCTGACGAGAAGTAGGCGCTACAGGACGCGGTGTAGTTTATAAGCAATTACGAGCGATAGGAAATGAACATTTTCTATGGATATTTTTAGTTAATGATTATTGATCCATGCTTTAATGTGCATTTTACAGACGAGAAAGATGCCGGGGTCGCTGAGCGCGGTGGGCACGATCTGGTCCATGTTTTCACTCACTGCGGCGGTGTTGTGCTGCTGTGGATTCTACTTACCTTTCTGGATACAGGTCAGTCCCAAAACGACTTCGAATACTAGTTCCTCGTCGAAAATGTATCATGGTAGATCCTGTATTTCTTCTTGCGATGGCTAAAGTCGAAAATGTTTCGTAACAGAGCAATTTTTTTAAAATAAAAACTAACCCGAATATTTCTTTGAACTCCTCAGGGAGGATTGTGGAAAAAGTGAGGAAAATGTACAGAAGTATTCAAGAAAAATTGGATATAGTTAACCCAAACGGTCACTTTTACCTTGCAGTGTTTCAAAATCTTTTAACCTATCAGCCTGAAGCCGATCAAAGATTACGAAAAACTTTCAATTGGTGTAATCTTTATTCCCGTTTGTGACAAGGGACTCTACCTCTCACCACAAGAGTTTTTACTTTTTACGCAAAGCCACTCGCCTGGCTAGGCTACCACTATTTTCACACCTACGTTGACAATATTGCATATTTTCTAACATGAAGGCGCACGTTAATTGAGCATTGTCATGACTTCAGAGAGGTTCTGCAAACGTAACTCTTTCTCGGACTGTGCTCTCGTCGTGCTTTGGACTCTCATATGGACGTATTTCTGTCAAACGGAACTATGTGCATTATGAAGTGAGCCCTGTTATGCGCATATGCTTATGGGTCTCAGGGCTCATGTCTTAATGCACATAGTTCCGTTTGATAGACATCGTCCATATGTAGCATGTACTGTTCTTCTCTATCAGCACGTCAGTGCTCTCTTCCATCGAGGAGGTCAAAACAGCACCTCTTGTCACCTGAGCGATAATTGAAAGCATTTATGAGAAATGAAAATAAATAATCAAAAATAATGAAAAAAAAAAAAAAAAAAAAAAAAAAAAAAAAAATGTTGGTATAGATTTTGCAAGGATGCGTTCAATTCACATATGCACTGTCTCAATTGCACAACATTTTGCACTGCCCAATAAAATTCAGAGTGTGCGTTCAAAAGCGTTCCGTTTGGTGGGCTACATATTTTAACATTGAAAAAAAATATGGTTGGTTTTACCATACTCTGACACAGTGATACGAGTATGGTAATTAACACATGACTTTATGGTAGCATTTAAGTATGGCTGGTATCACCAGAGTTTTGGTGAATGCTACTATGATAGTAGGAGTGAAACGCCGGTGCTCTACCGTACTGGGACAGGCGGCTGCGGGCGGCGCTGGGTGGGCGGCTGCGAGCGGCGGCGCTGGATGGCGGGGCTCGCTGCATCGCGGCGTGCAGTTAACACGTGGTGAGCAATTAGCTCGTGCCGTTGTGGTTAATATGTAGATTTGCGGCGGATGAGGGCGCACAGAGGGGATTGCACAAACATGAAAGAAATAAAATGAATTACTTATCTGGTGTGGCTGAGTGTTGCAAAGGGTGCTCCGTCCAGAATGATTTTGAGTAGGGAATTTATAAGATGTAAAGACGCGGCGCGCAGTTTAACGAAAAAAAAATGTTATTTAAAAACTCGGTAAGAGAATCGGAGAAGAATGGAGTTTATAAATAAGACTAAAAATTATTAAACTGCGCCGTATCGCGAAAAAAGGAGGGGGCGGGTTGATAAGAGAATAGAAACAAAATTTACGAGGGGCAATGAAAAATGTAATGTATGATCAATGTAACAAAATTAACGAAAGAAATGAGAAAAAATATGTAAAATGTATGTACAAATGAAAATAACTTAATCCGTAAGGATTTTGTACTTGAGGCAGCCGCTTGCGGCGTCTTTTCCTTCAAAAAGGAGGGTGACAGGATCCGTCAGGAGAGTCTCTATATCGGCATCGGTCATTTTGTATCGCGAGGGGAGGAAAAGATCCCTCGGCTCCCCGTCCTCGCACATAAGGGTGAAGACTAATTTTGGACCGAAACGGCCCGTCACAATGTTCTTGATGTTTATGACGGGAAACACACTCCCGGGACGAATGTCTTTCGATTTTAATGTTTCCGGAAAAGCCGGAGTCCGGTTAAAAGCTTCCGTCACTGCTTTTCGTTTGGCGTTAGCCGGCGAATCGGTCACTTTTGTCGCGGGCGCGACGTAAGGCGAGAAACTGCTGCGTTTCAGCGACGTCCACTGCTTCCCCTTACGATCGGGTTCGCGTTGCGTAGAGGTGCATGCCGGGGCGTTTAACAGTGCAAACAATTCGGGATCCTCCGATTCCAGATCGATGTGATGAGACGCGGGTGATTTGCGTTCCATTGCAAAAAAAGCGAAAACAAAAACTGATGGTATTTTTAAGGAAACTTGGGCAAGCGCGATTTCCGAGGGACGACCCGACTGAGAGCTGGTTCAATGCTTACTGACTGAGTGTGAGAAATCGAGCATCGGAGAACATTCGCAAATACAAGTTACTTGAGCGAGAAAACTTGCGTGGGAAAGGAAGTGACGCATTCGAAAAAGTGCAAGGGGTCTGTTGCTGCATGTATGCACATGTTCGCAAATGTGTTTTTTTAAGTAAAGGATGCGCTTGTGACTTGAGACTGCAACTAGTAATGCACATGTTCGCAAATGTGTTTTTTTTCCCACTCAATTTTTCCCAGTCTGGTCTTATGCACTTGTTCGCAAATGTGTTTTTTTTAAGGAAAGGATGCGCTTGTGACTTGAGACTGCAACTAGTAATGACTCAATTTTTCCCCAGGCTCGTCTTATCGCGCTGTAACTCCGCTCCAGTCAATTCTCGCAGATTGAGCGTATCTTTGACGAACGCAAAGTGAATTTCCTTTTTTCCTCCCCATTTAATGGTGGAATACCTAACATGAAAAGTGTGGCTATTTGTGACGGACGATTACACGCTACATTAAAACGGGGCGAAACCGAAGGCGCTAGGTCAGTTGTAGTGCGCGCGTGCGACTCGGCGTGCAAATCGGCGAAAAACCCGAATTTGGAAGGTTTGATAAACATTTTTCTCGGTATTGATCGCGATAAAAAAGAACAAAAAGTGAGGCCAGTACAAGGGGTAATCGGAGTTCCGCGAGCCCCCGCTGACCTTTTTTCAGAAGAAGAAGAAGACTTTTAGCCGCCGGCGGTTTACTACAACCAATATTTGACAATTATTATTAAATATTATTTTTTGTGTTTTTGATGTTGATAATATATGTATATGTGATTTCATAAAAGTTGCGGACAGTAAATATATGCAATATGAGCGCGGAAAGTTTTGAAATTTGTGATGGATATACGCACGTGTGTTTGATTGACCGCCAGAACGTGCGGAAAGCTGAGCAAACGAGATGTTCGAACGCGTGTCCTTTGGCCGGGGAGGTGAGCATTCAAAGTCTGATCGAAATCTACTTGGGACCACATCCAAGGGGTCCGTCTTCTAAAAGAATTAAATCCAAAATTCCGAGGGGTTCTAAAAAAATGAAATCCAAAATCGAATCCAACGAACCGCAACCGGGCTGTTCCCGCTGGGCCGAAGTCGCAGACCCGCCGCCACAATCACCCGAGGACGGACCGTCCACTCCGGTCGCAGACCCGCAGGACATATCGACCACTCCGTCTCCATCTTTGCTGGACGACTCAGATATTACCATCATACCATCCTCCCAATAATCTTAGTACGAGCTCGGACCTGCAAAAAACCACCTTGTTTTTAAGGAGAAAAGGTAATTATTTTTAGATTATGCAAATAAACTTCATCTTTCTCTCTGTCTCCCCCCCCCCTTATTAGTGTTTCGCCCTCTTTCGTTAGTCATTGCTCTTTAGTCTCCCTAATAGAGTGCCAGTGTCTGCTAGTCCAGCCTCTGGCTCGACCCTCGAAGTAGAAAAAAAATGGCGCCGTCATCGGAAGCCTCCGTTTACTTACAATGCATCAAAGTTCATAACAGACTACGCGTTCGCATTATTTCGAATAATTATTTTCCTCACTTAAATTGTCAGTTTCCCAAGGCATTGCGAGGGGAAAACCAAATATATCGTGTATCGGCCAAGGATGTTAAGTTAGTTAAAAGCCGTTTTACCGACTTTTATTCCGTCGTCAGAAAGAACATCGTGCTGGTCGAAGAGGACATAGGCCAGGCACACATTAAAATCTTCACAGAGGAGAATGACGAGACTTGCTGCGTCTGTCTGGATGCTCAGAAATTCTATGTTTTCATCCCGTGCGGACATTTTTATGTCTGCAAAGTTTGCCAAGATTCGGAAAAGTTCAAGAAATGCCCCATCTGCAGATCTGCCATTTTCAGAGCTCTACCTTTCTCGGAAATTAGAACCTAAGACGGGCGAGAGAATTTTCTTCCTTCGAATTCTAAATTCATCATGAAGGCGTAACTTGTAAAATTTCAGAAAAATTCCGATGTTAGCCTCATCCTCCCGATAATCTTAGTAAGAGCTCCGACTTTTTTGAAAACAATCTTGTTTTACGGAAAAAACGTAATTTTTTTAGAATATGAAAAAACTGCTCCCCCCCCCCACCTCACTCTCTTTCTCTCTCTATCTCTCCCTCTTGGGGGAGGCGTCCAGTGCTAATTTTAAATTCGGATGATTAACACTGTTTCAGTCTGAAGCGGGATCATGGAAGAGCAGGATGAAGTCCAGGAGGGCTTAATGCAGCTGCCCGTACACGTGGTCTTGACTGAAGCGGCGTTCCGATCGAGGCTGAAAACATACCGACTTTCACCGGCTGGGAGCGCTGCCGCCAGATTTCCCATCGAAAAATTTCTTCAGAGCTCGGAGAAAATCGTCGGCCCGTTGGTGTCTTACGGCTTGGAGTCTAGTCCGAATTTAAAAGTCAATGCGCTGCTTCTCGCGTCTTTTCGTCATCCGGTGAAGCGCCGCGAATATCGCGATTTCAATTTAAAAACGGATAACTTTCGCGTGCACAATGTCGGCGATGTGAATGATTTTCTGGTGTATATGCGCTCCAAAATTTTACAGGAGCTGGACGATTATGCTACAACGGGTAGCGGTTGGACGTTCCGTAAAGTCAGGTATCTCGAACTGCGCGTCAACAAATACGAACCGCTGAGCGGTAAAAGAAAAAAGAAGGAGCAAAGCGGGGTGCACAGGAAG